CGAGGGCCACTCTGTCGTTGGGCGGCCAGGGCCGTGCTCGAGAGCTGCCGGCGTGAGAACACGTGCTTCCTCATCTGAAAGCATCTCAGAGGCGGGAGTTGCTGTAAAGTCCCCGGTGGAACCATGACCCAAGCTCCAAGGAGGGGGAGTTGAGCTGGCGGAAGGTGTGGGAGCCCAGGTGAGGGGGCAGGACCGGGGCAGGGGCAGAACCGGACACAACACAGAGCCTGTCCCCAAAGGCCTGGCGCCCCTTGGGCCGTGAGCCCCGCTCCCAATGCATCCTGATGGGAGGGCTGTGTAGCTCACTGCCCACTGCCCAGCCCCAGGACAGGAGCCGGTCCTCACAACACGGAGGATGAAGCCAACAGAGGGGGCGGGGTGGCTCCAGGGGGACATTAAAAGCACAGTTGGGGGCAGGCAAGCGGCACAGGGGTGCTAAGCGCTCCAGATGCTCACCTGGCACGTCAGGGGGCCTACTGGACCCGCTTTCCCGTGTGAAAGTCCTCATTTAGGGTCCTGCCACCTCCTACCAGGCCTTTGGAAAAGAGGTAGTGGACCCACCTCACCCTAAGAGGCAGAAGCACACGGCTGACGACGGTCAGCTGCTTGTCTGAAGTGAGTGCCTTTGTGGGGACAGCACCCCACCACTCATCGCAGGGCAGAGCGTGCCCAGGCCCCGCAGGGCCCCTGTCCCCGTCCCCACCTCCACGGTCCGTGCAGCAATCCATGGTCCATGGCAGCAACAGGGGAAGTGGCGAGAGGGAGCACGGAAGAGGCAGGTGGCAGGGGGAGCACAAGCACCCACACATCAGCCCACTGTCCAGGGCAGCAGCTTGCACGTGGGCCACACAAAGTAAGTGATTTTTTTTTTGCGGTACGCGGGCCTCTCACCGCTGTGACCTCTCCCGTTGCGGAGCACAGCCTCCGGACACGCAGGCTCAGTGGCCATGGCTCATGGGCCCAGCCGCTCTGCGGCATGTGGGATCTTCCCGGACCAGGGCACGAACCTGCGTCCCCTGCATGGGCAGGCGGGCTCTCAGCCACTGTGCCACCAGGGAAGCCCAAGTAACTGATTTTAAGGGGATAAAGGGAAGCGGCGCTCGCTGCCACTGTCCTGCCCCAGCTTGTCCCACACCCCACGTGGGTGTCTGCATCCTCTGCAAGACAAGAGGATTCCACGTAAGGCCTGGTCACCTCTGCGCTACACGGCAGTGTGGCCCGTATCTGTCAATGGACCCGGCTCTGCTGGCTGGCATTTGGCTCTTACGTAAGTGAGCAAATTGAAACCATAAATAAAGAGACAACTACACCTCAATAACTAAATTAAAAAAAAAGAGAGAGACCACACCACGTGCTTGCAGAGTTTGCCAGCTGGGAAGAGGGACACACAAAAAGAAGCATCGCAGCAAACAAAGCCCCCTACCCCATCCCCAGGGCCTCACGGGAGACGGCAGAGGACACCGTGAAGCTGGAACCACCTCACCGGGGCCAGGAGACCCTCACGCTGTGGGGAGGCTGCCCACTCTTCCAGCCCCCGACATCCCGCCGGACAAAGCACAAGACTCAGGAAGCGATGGCTGCAGAGCCGTGGAGGCTGGGGCACCGGAGTGCCCCCAGGCCGCCGACCACGGAGCACCCAGCGCGGCCAGGGCCCCCGCACGCTGGGAGACACAGACGGGGATCCACAGCAGGAGCCCAGCCATGCTCTGCAGGGTGCGCAGGGGACCCTGACCATACCCAGGACAAGGGAGCATCCCCTGAGCGTCAGGAATCCGGCCTCCACTGCCTCCCTCTGCCCTTGCTCTGGGCTGGCAGGAGTGGACCGGATTCTCCCTGCTGCCTGGGAGCACCCCTTGGCCCAGGCACCCTGTGCCTTCACAGGGCTCCTGTCCTCCCCTGGGCCTCCGCTTTGCGGGACAGACACAGGCCGGAGAGCCCCCTGGTCACCACTCCTGATTCTCGGCGGTCGGTTCCTGCCAGAGAAGCAAGAGCTCTCAGGCTTCAGAGGTGGGGGACCCTGACCGCAGCGCTGCACCGCCTGGTGGGCGCTGTCACCGCTGCTGCGCTTCCTTCCCCAGGCTCCGGCCCAGGGGGCTCCCCACGTGCGGGCTGAAGGAGAGAAGGAAGGAAGGGAGGATGGAAAGGCCCCAGCCACAGACCCCACAGAGAGGTCAGCCCCAGAGAGGCTTTGGCCCACCACCAGCCCTGCTGCCCCACCGCAGGCTCAGCGCACACACCTGCCACGCTGCACACATCTCCTTGGTCAATGCGCCTGCGCTGACCTTGCGCCTACCATTCGGGTCAAAGGGCCTGTGACCATCAGGCTTAGGGGGTACTTCCAAGTTCAAGATGTGCCCTCATGACAAGCAAAGAGGACCCTGACCCCAGAGAGCCTGCAGTGCAGGGAGTCGCCACGCGGCGTCATGGGGGGGGGGGGGCCGGGGATAGCGGCAGGCAGGCAGTGAGAGGAGGACGGACGCTGCAGGAGCCCATGCTGGCCTGCATGGCGCCCTGACAGAGGGGAAGGGCAAGTGCACCGGGAAAGGGCGCATGGGCTTTCTGCACACTGGTATTTTTGCAACTTTCCTGTAAGTCTGAAGTGATTTCCAATTAAATGTTAACAAAAACCTTGAACCACATCGCCTGCAGCCCCCCAGATTTCAGAACATGAAAGAGTCCCTGCCCTCCGGACCTGCCGAGCGTGGGGGCGATCAGAAGCGAGTGGGTGGGTTTTCGCTGCGAGTCCCCGTCAGGGACAGAGCCAGCACCTTCCAGGCCTCCTCACCGCCACCGTCAGCAACGGGGAGTGCCTGTGACGTCACAGAAGCCGAGCGCAGGCGCTTCCTCAGCAAGGCCTGAGCCCGGTTCTCCTGCCTTCGGGGCGCACCCCGTCCCAGCCCGTCCTGCGCAGCGCGGGGACCCAGGCGGAGGCTCCACGGAGGTCTCGCCCGCCTCAGTGTGGAGTCTGGCCTTGTTCCCCTCTAAGGGTCCCGGGGGCGGGCCGGTGAGTAATACCCCCAGCCGGGAGGCGGCTCCTGGGGAAAGCCACGGGAGGGGGGGAGTGCCCCTGTCGTGCTCCCGGCAGCGGAGAGGGGGGGACGGCAGTGGCCTCTGACCAGCCAGGGAGCGAGCCCAGGCCCAGGCCCACCCCAGCCCCCGGGGGCAACCGGCCTGTGATTGTTCTCTCCGCCCCGGGCCGTCATCGGCCATGGAGACGGCTCCATTCTGGACCGTGTGTCTCACTGACCCCTCGACTGAGTTGGAAACGTTCAAGAACACACCGCCGCGAGCTCCAGGTCTCCTTACCTTCACGTTTATGAGGCCTCGCTTGTGGCCAGCAGATCGTCATCCCTGCCCTGTCTCCACCGCCCCCGAGCCCCCACACCGTGGACCACACGCTTCCTTCTCAGACCGTCAAGATGCTCAGGGCCAGGCTGCCACCTCCTATTCTGAGCGCGTTTCAGTGAGGAAACCCCTACAGCCCCCAGCAGGAGCCGGGTGAGGGGGCGGCTGCTTGCCCCAAGTTGTTAAAGTTCAGTGTGACTGAGGAGGGAGACGCTGTCCACCCGCACCTCCTCTCTGGCAGCATCCCTGCCGCATCCAGCATTACAGGTGCTCAGGCAGGGCGGTGCAGGGGGGCTCCCTGCCATCTGTGCTGCTACTGCCTGATGGACCCACATGCCCCGACGCTGCTCTGCTGGGGACCTCCTCCCAAGCGGGGTCCCCGGAATGACACCCAGAACCGGCGGACTGAGCATCCAGCAAGGGGAGGCAGCCCCATTACTGCAGGAGGGCTGGACGCTGGGACAGGTGACTCGGCTGTGAGCATGAGTCCCCGAGAGGCAGAGAGGACCGCAGGGCACAGGCCAAGAGCCAGAAAAGGACCCTAAGCCATGGGCATGGCTGACGGCCCTGGACCAGCTGGGCTGATGCAAGAGCCCAGGCAGCAGGCAGCCAGGGAGCGAGAGCCATGGCTGGGGACCTTGAGGCCACCCTGAAAGCTGCCCATACAGCGTGGGCGGGAGCAAGGCTGGTCTGGAGGGCCATCACGTGTGGGAGGAGAGGCCGAGGGGGCACGAGCCCAGCAAGGGGGGTCCAGGTGAGAGGTTCTTGTGTAAACGGATACATACTTCTTGGTGTCATTTTTCATAAAATTACAGTGAAAACCACCCAAGTTGCGCCTACGTTCTCGAGCTAAGACATTCAACAACCATCTACTGAACGCTGCCGTTTCCCACTGCAGACCGAGGCCCACAAGGGCAGGGCCTGTCCGCCGCCCCTCCTGGCACAAGTGAGAGGCAGGATCGCTGCTGCTTTCAGCTTTTAAAACTTCTCACGGTGACAGAGGTCAAGAGTATGTACATCCGCTGTGAAGAAAACAATCTCTCAAATCAAAATTCCACCTCCAGCAAACCCGAGCCTCTGCTGTGACCCTGACCACTCGTGACCAGCAGACTTGTGTCACTGAAATGAGACAACAGTCCTCTCTTCCCGTTGACCCCCGGAGCTTAGAACAGCACAGAAAGCAGGGAACAGTGACTTCCCAAGCGGGGGACCTCAATTTACAGCTTCCGTGAATCTGTCCAAATGGGCGACTGCAAGGCTGGGGGCCGGTGACACTGTCGGCGTCCACTCTGAGCGGGTGCCAGCGTCCCGCCAGCGCAGAAGTTTTAACAAGATCCTGCCGACAATGATCTCTGCTTGAACTCGGGCTCTCCTAGCTGAGGCTATCAGGACCCAGCTCAACGTGGCCCAGAGGACAGAGCCCAGGAGGAGCCTGGCTGAGCGCGGGGAGCCCTGCTGGGCCTCACTCTGCTCTGCACCGTCCACACGGCAGGCAACGCCCCCAACACCAGCACTGCCCTGAGTCGAGGCCCGCCAGCGGCGCCGCAGTTCAGGCCCGTCCCCGAGCGGTGGGGACTCACCCTCTGCCATCGGCCTCCTGGGTGGTCGTGGCCGTGTGATGCCCACGTGCCGCCAGAGAGAACACAGGGGCTCACCTTGGTGTCCTCCTCATTTCCCTCCGCGTGGACAACGTAGGGGTAGCCGTCCTTCTGCAGGTTTTCGGACACAATGCGCACCTCGACGCCGGGCAGCGGGGTCCCCACAGAGCCTGCAAGGGGCGGGGAGGCGCGAGGGAAAGAGGCGGTCAGCAGGATTCTGAAAGACAGAGCTGCACACTGAGGTGCTCGGGTCTGCCTGACGTCACGTGCACACACGGAGGTGGGGGGATCCCGCGTGGATGTCACGTGCACACACGTGGGAATCCCGCATGGACATGACGTGCGCACACAGGGGTCCTGCCCCTTGTCACGTGCACACAGCGGGGCGAAGCCCCAGGAGCCAGAAGCACAGCCTTAGGCGGGTCACGCAGAGCAGCAGCCAGGGCTTTGAACGCCCTACAGGGCCTCCAGGTCACTTCGGGAGGGCCGTCCGGTGCCCAGGGCAAGATGCAAGGGCACTTCTATCTCACTGGAGCGCCTGGCTGAGCGGTCAGGGCACCGATGACCGCAGTTTGTCGCTGGCGAGGGACTGGAGTGGGCCAGATGCCAGAGGGTGAGCGGATCCTCACGGCAGGGGTGACGCAGCCAGCGTCCCGGCTCGCTTGTTAGGCGCCTGTGCGTGGCTCAGCGTCTTCACCCCTGTGTGGCTATAATCAGCTTTTGAACCTGCAAAGGTTAGGTCAGGTGGTGCCCTGGCCGCAGTGGAGTCCCCGTGGCCACTGTAATGAATAGCCGAGGCGGGGCAGAGATTCCAGGGCCAAACTCTTCGCTTCAAGGTCTCAGGGCCTTTTTTTCTTTTTTGCGGTACGCGGGCCTCTCACTGTTGTGGCCTCTCCCGCTGCGGAGCACAGGCTCCGGACACGCAGGCTCAGCGGCCATGGCTCACGGGCCCAGCCACTCCGCGGCATGTGGGATCTTCCCGGACCGGGGCACGAACCCGTGTCCCCTGCATCGGCAGGCGGACTCCCAACCACTGCGCCACCAGGGAAGCCCCTCAGGCCCTTTATTTTAACTGTTATCAATGAGGACTTGTCGCAGGAGAAAAGTCCCGGGAAGCCCACTTGGCAAACTCCACGAGGTGCTTAGTGCTCTGGGATCCACACGCCTGGAAGAGTCTGTGACACAGGGCTCCGCTTGCTAGATGGCGCCGTCCTGTCCTCCTCAGCCTGTCTTCTGTCTGAGGTCCTGGGGGCCGCCCCCGCCGCATCTTCCTCCTCCTTCCTCCCCTCCTTCTGTTTTGCTTCCAAAGATTTAAAAACTACAGTGAAATCCATATATGATGCAGCTATTCGTTATAAAGCCTAGGATTCGGGGGCATTCAGTACATTCACAACACTGTTCCATTACCACCTCCATCTAGCTCCAGAACTTTCCACCAGCCCAGAAGGAAACCTGTCCCCGTCAGCTGTCGTATCTTCCCCCCACCCCAGCAACCACTAACCCATTCTCTGTGGACTTGCCCCCTGGATGTTGTGTATGAAAGGAACCGCCAGGCATGTATCCTTCTCTCTTTCTGCTGCGGCCAATGGCTGCACGAGTGCCAGGATGCTCAAGACCAGAGACAGCCTGGAAAAGGAGGTGTTCCACCTCAGCTGCAGACAAGACACGAGGACCAGAGACAAGACCTAGGCTGTGAACGTGAGCTGGGTCCAAGCCCTGCCCTCCTGCAGGCTCTGCAGGACCCGGGGCCAAGGCGGCCACAGTCCCGACACTCGGGATGTGTTTCCCAACGGACCTCAGCGTCGTAGCTTCCCTCTGGATCTGTCTCCAGTGAAGCGTCTGTCTCAGCCCTGTCGTCTGCGTTGCTCCTCCTTGGACCTCACGTCTGATAAGGACCGGCGGGGCCACAGCTCTGACTGCTTGGTTACAGACCAGGCCCAGGCATCTTGGAGATTTTCCCAGGTCTTCACATCACTGCCAATTGCTCATATTCCATGGCCAAATGTCAGCAGGCTGACCTAGGATTTAGCCCTCGGTGTGTGTGTGTAAAAGCCACAGAACAGAAGGTTTAAAGGAAGAAATGGGTTGATAAAGTGCAGGAGAGAAAGGACGTGTGTAAGAGGACATCGGTCGGGCCCACTGGGCTGATGGTCCTCCTTCCTGGGTTCCCAGGCAGTGAGAGGCTTTCTTGCTGTGTGAATTGATTTATCACTTTCTGAGACTGGTCAGGGTGATTCCTTTAGTATGTGGCAGAAGTAAAGCGTTCCATGAACACACCTAGAGCCATCAGGAGGAACGTGATGATTTTATCAGAAGCCACTTCATTAAGCCAGGTACAGAATCTTGAGCACGAGCAGCCGCCTCGCTCAGGAGTGAAACCTGCTCCTCCTCCCGTTTCTTCTGAGCTCTCGTCCCCACGGTGGTGTGACGCCTGCTCAGGCCCAAGCCCTCCAGACGGCGACGCCTCCTGAAGTGTGCGCCCTGGGGATCCTCGGAGTACGAAAGACCCTCCATGTCCCTCGTTTCGTGTTTGTAAAAAGACACTTTAGTCTCCTAAACCTTCCCTGAGATCCAGAGAGCAGACTGAGGCAGTTACTAATTAGAGAAACAGAGGAACACAGACACAAAGAAAAAGCAGTTACCTCAGAGCTCAAACAGTAAATCGGTAATAAGACAGAGTCGCACCTGCTCCTCAAGAGATGCACACACTAAGCTGACGCGCATCCCGGAGTTGTTCCGCGTGAACTGAGGCCCCCACCCGGGTGGAGGATGGTGACTACATGCTGAGACCCCCAGACTCGTTGGAACCAGAAGGCTGATGACTGATATTCCTGGGACACCACCCTGTTACCTCACCACCAACCAGTCAGAAGGATGTCACACATCCTGCAGCCCTCCCCGCAAATGTCGCCTTTAATAGCCCTTCCCTGAAAGCCATAAGGAGTCTGGGTCCTTTGAGCGCCAGCCGCTCGCTCTCCTTTCCTGGATCCTGCACTTTCCTTCACCACAACCCAGTGTCAGTAAATTGGCTCAGTTCAGTAACACTTACAGAAAGGAGGAAGCAGAGGCTCCATCCAGGCGCTGGGAACACAGGGAGATGTGGGGAGATGCTGTGGAGAAGGGAACCCTACGGGATCTGCTGTGGCCTCCAGGGAGGTGAGTGGCTGCCCTCAGTCCCACAGGACTGACAGTCACAAGGGCATGTCCCCACTTACCCACAACTTCTGTACAACTTGGCTGCAAACTGGGGGTCCCTGAGCCCCTCCTGGGATTAAACAGTTTGCTAGAGCGTCTCTCAGAACCCAAGAAAACAGGTCACTTCCTAGAATATCACTTCATTACAAAGGATACAAGGTGGGAACAGCCAGTTGGAAGACACACCTCTAGCAAGTATGTGGTTGGGTGGGAGTCTCTAAACTTGCACACTCTCCAGGCACATCACACTCCAACACCAACCCGTGTTCACCAGCCTTGTTTTGGGTTTTTATGAAAGTTCTATTATGCAGGTACAATTGATTAAATCATTGGCCATTTGTACTTGATTCAACCTCCAGCCCCTCTCCCAACCTAAGGAAGTCAGGACTGTCCACCCTATTCAATGAAACCTGAACCGCTAAGAACGTCTATAAAGAAAACACTGACAGGGCTTCCCTGGTGGCGCAGTGGTTAAGAATCCGCCTGCCAATGCAGGGGACACAGGTTCCAGCCTTGGTCCGGGAAGATCCCACATGCAGTGAAGCAACTAAGCCCCTGCACCACAACTACGAACCCACAAGCCACAACTACTGAAGCCCGCACGCCTAGAGCCGATGCTCTGCAACAAGAGAAGCCACCGCAATGAGAAACCTGCGCACCACAGCGAAGAGCAGTCCCTACTCGCGGCAACTACAGAAAGGCTGCGCACAGCAACTAAGACCCAACACAGCCAAAAATAAATAAAAGTCAAATAAATTTATATATAAAAAAAAGAAAACGCTGACCGAATTACAGCACCACTACCACAACGGTGGCATTAAAATCTCCACAGAAACACCTATGCTTTGTTAAAGTTAGGTCTACAAACGGCAGAGACTGCTGTTAGGGCAGGGCAGCTGCTGAGACCCCAGAAGCCCCCGCCCCTACCCCAGCGGGTGGAACAGAGCAGGGTCAACCATGCAGGGCCAGCCTCCTACACCGAACTAGATGGAGTCCCGCCCACGCCAAGTGCACGCTGCCCTTCCCACGCCGCGTGACGCTGCCCGTCCCATGCCACGTGACGCTGCACCACCCACGCCACGTGCACGCTGCCCCTCTCACACCGCGAGAAGCGGCCCCGCCCACACAATGTGCACGCTGCCCCGCCCACACCACGTGGACGCTGTCCTTCCCACGCCCCGTGACGCTGCCCCTCCCAGGCTGCGTGACGCGGCCCCTCCCACGCAGCGAGACGCGGCCCCTCCCAGACCGCGGGACGCGGCCGCCCCAACGCGTGACGGGGCCCCGCCCACACCACGTACACACTGCCCCGCCCACACCGCATGACGCTGCCCCTCCCACGCCACGTACACGCGGCCCCGCCCACACCACGTACACGCTGCCCCGCCCACACCGCGTGACGCGGCCCCGCCCACACTGCGTGACGCTGCCCCTCCCACGCCACGTACACGCGGCCCCACCCACACAACGTGCACGCTGTCCCTCCTACGCCTGACACTGCCCCTCCCAGACTGTGGGACGCTGCCACGCCCACACCGCGAGATGCTGCCCCTCCCAGACCGCATGACACGGCCATTCCCACACAGCATAGACGCGGCCCCTCCTACACCGCGTGACGCAGTCCCTCCCAGACCACGGGATGGGGGCCTTCTAACCCCCCCGTGACGCTGCCCCTCCTACGCCTAGTGCACGTTGCCCCGCCCACACTTCATGCGCACTGCCCCGCCCACACCGCGTGACGCTGCCCCGCCCACACCGCATGACGCAGTACCTCCCAGACCGCGGGATGGGGGCCTTCCCACGCCGCGTGACGCTGCCCCTCCCACACCGCGTGCTGCTGCCCCACCCACACCACGTGCACGCTGCCACGCTCACACCGCATGACGCTGCCCCTCCCACTCCTCGTGCACACTGCCCCTCCCACGCCACGTGCGCGCTGCCCCTCCCACACTGCGTGACGCGGCCCCGCCCACACAGCGTGACGCGGCCCCTCCCCCACTGTGTGGACGCTGTCCCTCCCTCACCGCGTGCACGCTGCCTCGCCCACGCCGCGTGACGCTGCCCCTCCCAGACCGCCTGACACTGCCCCTGCCACACCGTGTGACGCTGCCACGCCCACGCCACGTTCACGCTGCCCCTCCCACACCACGTGCACGCGGCCCCGCCCACACCGTGTGACACGGGCCCCACACCGCGTGATGCAGCCTCGCCCAGACCGCGTGGACGCGGCCTCTGCCACAGCTCGGGACGGGCCCCTCCCACACCCGCAGGGACTGAATGTCCTCCTGGTGTCCACTGGGCAACAGGCTGGCTGCAGTCAGAAGGGCAGGCTGTCCTTCCGCCTCCCTTTAGAACGGTGTCAGCTGTGGCCAGGTGACTTTAATTGTCCTGTGGCTCTGTCCGGCCTCCGGTGACGGTGCCTCACTGGGTCCTGGAGCGCCTGTCCGGCAAGCCCTGTATCTGATAGCAACCGCCTATTAGCGCATGTCAGGCCCAGCAGTTCAGGTCACCACCCGGGGCCTCAGCCGAGCAAACAGTATCCTTCAGGCCACGCGCCCCTCCGGGCCGCCAGGGAACCTGTGATGGGCCAGGCTGGCAGGATGTGTCCCCGGAGCAGCCCAGAGTCCCGGCTGGAAGAAGCCCGGCCCGGGAGTCAGGGGCACAGAGGACACAGCCTGATTGCTCCGGAAGCGGCGCTCAGGGACTCACTCCCGGATTCAAGGTTGACGGCTACTTCCTTCATTGTTTTTAAACCAAAGAGCCGGCCGTGCACCCACTGTGAGCCGCCTGCTTCACGGGTGAGAAAAGACCCCGGGCGCTTGGTTCCGGTGTCGAGAAGAGGCCACGCACAGCCACGGCAGAACCCTGAGACTGAAGAGCTGCAGCCAATTAAGATTCGAGAATTTCTGCCCAGAAGCCTCGGGTTTAGGGCACGGGCGCAGGTCCCTCTGTCCCGGGGCCTTTGCCCCCGCCCGACAGAGGGTGTCCTGGTCCGACAGTGCGAACGCCTGCTCCGTCTGTGTGACTTCTCCAAGGCCATCAGAGGGGTAAGACCAGCCCAGTATCGGGGCTGTCGTGTGGACAGTTTGCAGCTTCTTAGAAAGTCAAGCTCACGCCCCCTTCTGACCCAGCAGTTGTACTCTGAGGCGTCTGCCCACGAGACGTAAAGACGCATTCGCACAAAACCCTGCATGCAGACCTTCACGACGGCCCGCCTGGGAGCTGTCCGAGGCTAGACACGACCCAGCGTCCTTCGGTGGCGGACAGGTTAGCGCCGAAGATGCTGCTCGGCACAGGATGTGTCTCACACTTGTCCTGCCAAGTGAGAGAAGCCAGACCCAAAGGCAGGTCCTGGAGGCTGTGCCTCTGTGTCGTTCCAGGAAACGCACAGCTACAGGGAGAGGAACCAGGGATGTGCTCGCCGGCCTGGGGCAGCAGGCGCTGACCGCCAAAGGGGGAAGGTCTGGAGGTGATTCAACTTCGTCTACCTGAGTATGACGGCAGACACACTGAAAACTCACAGACCTGCCCACCAGAAGGGTGCCTTTTACTGTCGTGCAAGACAAGTGGATGCACAGAGGCAAGTACAGGCACACGATGACTTAACGTTTATTTCCAGACGCCTACTGTGTTTTGGACAAGCTGGAGGGTACTGACCGGGAGGGCTAGAAAAGGGCCCAGGACAGGACAGGCTCACGTCTCAGGCCTCAGGCTCCGCCTGCAGGTTCCCTGTCAGGGACCCGGGACGTGAAGGCTGTTTATGTGGAATGGCCTAGAGAAGGGGGGACAGGAAGACCAAAGGGCAGGAACCCGTCTAGAGCAGCAGGCCCTCCAGACGCGTGCAGGTCCCCGAGCACAGGCGGGGTGTCCCTCCTCCCTTGCCCCCGACACCTGCCGTCTCTCCCGCTGCCACCGGCCTGTGTGGCTCAGGGCACCTGCATGGGAAACTCTGGGCCACGGGCGACCTGGTCTGGATGGAAGCAGCCCCCAGCCCGGGAAGGGGGGAGGGGGGCGCCCTGCCAAGCACACGGCGTCTGGGTAACCTGGGAAGGACACTGCCACCCTGAGAACGTGACCGTAGCCCAGCAGGGGAGCATCCTCCACAGAATGGCCTACCCGAGGACCCAGAGCAGAGGGAGGACACGGCTGGCGGGCGCCACTCGTACCTGGCAGGCGAGCTGCGGTCAGGGGGTTGGACAGGGCCATGCCGATCTCCGTCATCCCGTACCTCTCCAGCAGAGTGTGGCCGGTGATGCCCTTCCACTTCTCCAGCACAGGCAGGGGCAGGGCGGCCGAGCCCGAGACCATCAACCTGCCCGGCACAACCACAGGCTCCTGAGCTCTCGGGAGCACATGGCTTCTTCAGCCCGGTGAGAGCCACACGCGCCCAGCACCCCAGTCACCGTCACCCTTTAACTCACGGCTAAAAGTGCAGTTCGGGCTGAAATTTAACTCTGTTCTTTGGAAAGAATCTTGGGTATATTTTAGAATGCAAATAGGTCTTCACAAGGAAGGGGTAATCACAGTAAAAGGAAAAGTGATTTGAGGGTCCCTGGTGGCACGCTCTGCAAAGAGTCAACGTGCTGTCCACAAACAGCCCCGAAAAGAGCAGTGATAAGAGTAACGTGATGATAGCTTGTCTGCTTTGGGGACAAAACACCACCGGGTCTGAGGCGGAGTGGGGGAGACGGAAGCAGGTAGTCTCCAGGGCGGGGCGCACGGGGGCTCCTCCACGAACACTACCTGGTGCTGACGGCTCACTGACAATGACATCGATCTGATATGAGAGCCTCGGCATGCGCTATGTCCCGAAAGCACTGTGTGCAGGAAGGAAGGTGCTTCTGCTTGTAGTGGGGGCCGGAGCAACGACCACCCCTGTGCTCCCCCGCCCCGGAGGTGCAGGCACAAGGACCCCCCCCCCCACCAGGAGCCCGGCTGCTGAGGTCTGAGGGCCTGTCACCCAGAGTCACCCTCATCTCCCCTCTCTGATCTCATTCTTGCCCTTGGCTCCTGAGATCTGGGTACATCGTGCTACCAGTCCCACTCTTGTCCTGGTGGTTGGGCTTTGGATCCCAGCCCCACCATGGTGCCTCGTGGGCGGCCAAACCAGGGAGGTGCTGGCGTGGCACCCTCAGAAAAGGGCTCTAGTTCCATCAAAACGTCTTTACAGAAAAGGCGCAAAGAGTGGTTGAATGGGAGCAGAAGAACAAGATGAAATGCTCGTCTTGAGTAACTGGAAATTCTCTCCAGGAAACGAAGGGCTTTCCTGAGCTCCTCTCAAGGACTAGGAATCAGATGCACAGAGGCCATGAAGCTCGTGGCTGTCCAGCGCCAACTCGCTGCCCTGTTAAAGGCTGTGTCTGCCACAGACACACGTGTCACACGTCTTGGGCGCACGTGTCATCATGCCTGCGAAGACCTGCCAAACCGCTCACTTCTGTGTGCTCTGCAGATGAACCGCTTGACCACAAGCAGAGAGGAGCTGCAGTTGGCAGGCTCATGGGAACACGCAGAGCAAACCCCATGCCACCGAAGGGGCCAGACAGCCACACGTCTGTCAGGGAGTGTGTCTGCATGGGGTCAGGGAGGGGGCAGGGCTGAGAGCCAGCAGGTGTGGGGTCAGAAAGGACTTCCCCATCCTCGTCCTTCAGACTCTACCGGAAGACAGGCGGACAGACAGAGACAGAGGGACAGAGAGACCCAGAGATAGAACAGAGACACGGATACAGAACACAGGCAGCTGCGTTGGGAGCACAGATACGTAGAGAGAGATGTAGATACACATTTTAAAGCAAAGAAAAAATACTGCTTCCTAAAACTTAGTAGAACTGACTCACTAAAAATAAGTTATATTTGGCTTTCTGGATGGGAAGGTGGACTATTTTCATTTACCTGATTTTTTCTTCACAAACTGCACGCACGAAATCCTGGACATGAGGGTGGGTAAAATGTTTGTCGTAATAATCCATCAACTTGCTGTATATGGTAGGCACTGCCATAAATATATTAATCCGTGGAGTTTCAGAGCTTAAGAACTTTTCCCAAACCTAAAAAGAAAAAAGGAAGCACACAGCAAAAAGACTAGAAGACACGCATGCACAGACACATACGGACCCTCGGTTCCACGACGAGTGCTCTCAGCAGAGGACCCCCCTTTTCTTAAGCATCAGACAGTCTGTAAGCGGCTCCCGTCTCAAAGGGGGTCTCACTTTGACAGGGTGACACAAGCTCCCGGACCTTCCGTGGAGTCACTGTGCAGGGGACACTGGCGTCTGGCCTCAGGGGTGGCCCGTGAGGAGGAAGAGGACTGGGGGGAGGAGTGGCCCTGGGCCTGGGCACCGGCCTCGGATCTGCCGTCAGGGGAGACGTGGCGCCTCAGACTTTTCCAGCCACGCGGACGAGGGTGGACAGAGCTGCAGGAGGGGCCAGGTAGGCCTGAGCACAGCGTCTGGCAGACGGGCACGCACGCACGGGGAACCGATGGCGTCTGCTGTTTTCTCCGAAGAAGTCATGTGAAGTTTGTATCTTACTCTGTAACGGATGTTTCTCGTTTTAATATAAAGATGCTTCAAGTTTCTCAGCTTATGCTGAGAACGTGCTCGTGTGTTAGCCCTCATCTTCAGAAGGAGCTCTCTCCGTTCAGCCACCGCATGAGCCCATGGTCAGGGCGGGACGGGGAGCGCGGGGTGCTGCGTGCTCAGCACACCCCACACAGACAGCCTTCCCCCTCAAGGCATCCAAAACGCTGCAGCCAGCCCGGCCTGCCCCAGTCCCTGATCGCACACTTGCAATTACCTCCTCACCACAGCTGCTTGACAGAGCAAAGGCACTCCTCTTTGGGGGGAAAATTACATCGTTCTTTTAAAGACAACCCCGCCCCCATTATAAAGCATGTATGGGGCTTCCCTGGTGGCGCAGTGGTTGGGAGTCCGCCTGCCGATGCAGGGGGCGCGGGTTTGTGCCCCGGTCCGGGAGGATCCCACGTGCCGCGGAGCGGCTGGGCCCGTGAGCCGTGGCCGCTGGGCCTGCGCGTCCGGAACCTGTGCTCCGCAGCGGGAGAGGCCACAGCAGTGAGAGGCCCACGAACCGCAGGAAAAAAAAAAAAATCATGTATGAAAAGAGAAAAATGTGACCCATAACTAAGAAAAAAGTCAATAGAAGCAGCCCCTCAATACGGATGTTGGAATTATCATACAAGGAATTTAAATTAATAAGTAGGTTAAGAGATTCAGAAAAGGTGAGTGAAATGGGGGATGATCAAGGATTTCATCAGAGAAGTGGAACTGCAAGAGAACCATTATAAGCTGGGAAGTACATTATGTGAAACTAGGAATTCACTGGATACACTGAACAGACTAGATGCAGCAAAGACAGCAGTCAATGGAAATGATCTAAACCGAAGTACAGACAGGAAAGAGGAGAAAGAGAAGAGTGTCACCACGTGTGGGACAAGATGACACACTCTGACCTGTCAGGAAAGACAGACGTGCTCGGTCAGTGGAGACACATCCACGTCCACACATGGGAAGACTCAGTGTTGCTAAGGTGGCAGCTCTCCCCAAACCCCAGCAGCTGTGTTTTCCGGAAATTGACAAGCTGACCCTGCAGTTTACAGGGAAAGGCAGAGGACTCGGAAGAGTCACAACAACAAATGTGAGAAGGAGGGAGGAAGGTGGAGGACGCACGCTTCCTGACCCAAAACTTACTCCAAAGCACCAGCATTCAACGCCGTGTGAGGCTGGCGTAAGATCAGACACACAGACGAACGGAGCAGATGCCCAGAAACAAATCAATATGATGATGGCCAATTGAGTTTGACAGAGGAGCCAAGTCACTTCCATAGGATAATCTTTTCAACAAATTGCGCTGGGACAACTGAATATCGACATCCGAAAGGATGAACTTTTGACCCTTACCGCACCGTACCTAAGAATCCAAAGTGGATCAGAGACCTAAACGTATCAGCTAAAACTATAAAACTTTCAGGAAAAAACATAGGTGAAAATCTTCATGACCTTTGGTTAGGCAAAGATTTCTTAGATACGACAGCAAAAACATGATCTATGAAATTAAAAAACTGATAAAATAGATCTCATCAAAAGTTAAAGCATGCGTGCTTCACAAGATATCATTAAGAAAATGAAAAGACAAGCCCAAATGGGAGAAAATATCCGCAAACCATCTATGTGATAAAGGACAGGATCCAGAATATATAAACTCAATACTAAGAAGACAAATAGCCCAGTTTACAAACGGCAAACATCCCAATAGACAGTTCAGCAAAGGAGATACACAGACGCAAATAAGACCATGAAAAAACACTCCCCGTCCTCAGTGATTAGGGAAATGCAAATTTAAAACACAATGACATACCACGTCATATCCACTACAATGACCATAACAATGGTTTTAAAAACCAACAAAACACACGTTGGTGAGGATGTGGGGAAACTCACGCACTGCTGATGAGAACGGGGACGAACGGCCACTGGGGGAAAGTGGGGCAGTTTCTTAAAATGTTAACAATAAACATCGCACACCCAGCAATTCTAACCCTACTTATCTACACAAGGTAAATGAAGAGTGTCCACACCAGGATTTGTACGTAAATGTCCACAGCAAAAACTGGAACTGACCCAAATGCCCAATAACTGATAAATGGGTGAACCAAACGTGGCCCGGCCACATGCTGAAGCACTACCCAGGGACCAAAGTGACAAAGTACTAATACACATGCTACAACGTAGACAGAACTCAAAGACGTTCTACAGAGTGAAAGAAGCCAGACCCAAAAGACCACATGTTCTATGATTCCATTTACACACAAAGCCCAGAAAAGGAAACGCTGTGGAGATGGAGGACAGACAGTGGTTCCCAGGGGCTGGGTGTGGGAATAGGGACTGAGATAATAGTTGAACAAATCCTATAAATTTATGTAAAATCACTACATCGTTCACGATAGGTGAATTTTATGGTATGTGAATTACATCTCAATAGAGCTATTTTTAAAAAAGGACAATGCAATGAAAACATTTTCAGTGAAACAAAGCTGAGAGAATTTGTCTTCAGCAGAGCTGCACTACAGGGCTTCCCTGGTGACGCAGTGGTTAAGAATCCACCTGCCAGTGCAGGTTCAAGCCCTGGTCCAGGAAGATCCCACATGCCGCAGAGCAACTAAGCCCGTGCACCACAACTACTGAGCCCACGAGCCACAAGTACTGAGCCCACGTGCCTAGAGCCTGTGCTCCTCAACAAGAGAAGCCACCGCAATGAGAAGCCCGCACACCGCAATGAAGAGTAGCCCCCGCTCGCCACAACTAGAGAAAGCCCGCTCGCAGCAACGAGGACCCAATGCAGCCAAAAATAAATAAAGTAAAATAAATATATATTTTTTTAAGCTGCATTATAAGAACTATCAAAAGAATCCTTCAGGATTAAGGGAAACGACCCAAGAGGGAGACACAGATCTGAAGGAAGAAATGAAGAGCGCCAGAAAAGGAAATATATGGGTGATTTAAAAAAATTTTAAGGACCCCTGACTGTTTAAAACAACAATAGTAGCAGTGTGTCATGAAGATGAAGGAAGGGAATAATAAGAAACAGAAGGAACAGGAATATAAAGCACAGGTGCATTAGAGGAAAATCAACACAGTTGGTTCTTAGAAAAGATAATAAAGTTGATAGGCCTCTAAAACAAGAGTGATCAAAAAAAAAGAAAGAAAACATAAACTACCAATATCAGACACCTAAAGGAGACGTCACTACGGATCCTAAAGATATTAAAAGGATAATGAGGAGAAATTATAAACTACCCTATGCCAATAAATTTAACAATTTTGACGAAATGCACAATTATTTTTTTTAAAGTACCAAAACCGACACAAGAAACAAAATAGAAAATATTCGAAGTCCTACATCTATTAAAGAAACTGAATCCTTAATTAAAAACCTTCCCAGAAAGGTTGGCCCAGATGGCTTTAATGGAATTGTGTCAAACGCTGAAGGAAAGAATACTTTCAGCCACACAGAAACTTCCAAAGAACAGATAAGGGGAGGAGGGGTGGCTGCCACACTCCTTTCACAAAGGAGCAAAGCTCCCATACAGAAGCCTAACAAGGATGTCACAAGGAAACCACAGACCTGTGTTCCTTGTAAACACAGAAGCAAATGCCTTAACCGAGTATTAGCAAACCAAAGCTAGCAGTATGTGAAAAGGGCAATGCATCACGGCCGAGAAAGTTTACTAAAAGAAATTAGAGATATTCAAAACTTTACTCAGTATAACTAACCACATTAACAGAATAAAGAGGGAGACAAATAAAGGGGGTAACTCTATACAATCAATTCAAGAGGTAAAGAAAACCCATTTGATAATATTCAACCCACCCTATAATTCAACTCTCAGAAAACAATGGATAGGAATGTCCTCAAGCTAATATACGGTATCTGCAAAATGCTATAAGTAACATCATACTTAATAGTGAAATATTAATGTTTCTCCAAGATTGAGAATAAGTCAATGATGTCCACCATTACCACTTCCAAATTAGACTCACCAAAATTTAAAATTCTCTTTATCAAAAGACTATTAAAAAAGTGAAATGAGAAACCAGAGACAGGGGGAAAGACTCACAACACGTATTTCTGACAAAGGCCTTTTATCCATAATATATACGGGACACCTACTGATTAGTTATAAAAAGACAACCCAATTTAAAAATGGACAAAAGCCTTGAAGAGGCATTTCATAAAAAGAAAATCTCTGAATGACCAGTAAGCGTATGAAAAGCGCTCAACACGATCACTCATCAGAGAAATGCAAATCTTATGAGGCCAGTGAGGTAGCAGCATTACACACCCACTAGGATGGCTGAAATCTAGAAAGCCCGACCCAGTTGCTGAAGGGTGGGGCACGCTGCAGACAGGAGCATAGAACGGATAAGCACTTGGGAAAGGGTTGGGAGTTTCTTAAAACATTTCACATACGTGATCCTGTGACCCACTAATTCTAACCCTGGGTATTTACCCAGAAGAAATGGAAATGTGC